CCCTTCCTTCTCCATGTTCCTCCGCTTCCTCCCTCTCATCCTCGTCCTCATGTTCCTCCTCCTGCTCCTCCTCATCATCATCATCATCCTTCTCCTTCCCTCCTCCTCGTCATCATCCTCAGCATCATCAACATCATCAACATCGTCGTCGTCATCATCAACATCATCATCATCAGCATCCTCATCCTCATCCTCATCCTCATCCTCATCCTCATCCTCATCCTCATCCTCATCATCATCATCATCATCATCATCATCATCATCATCATCATCATCGTCGTCGTCGTCGTCGTCGTCGTCGTCGTCGTCGTCGTCGTCGTCGTTATCATCATCATCGCCATCAGCATCGCCCTCATAGTCATCATTATCATCTGCATTTGCAGACGCATCATCAGCATCATCATCATCATAAGCAGCATAAGCGTCACCACCACCACCATCAGCATCAGCATCATCAGCATCATCACCATCAGCAGCAGCATCATCAGCAGCAGCATCAGCATCATCATGATCAGCACCATCGTCATCATCATGAGCAGCAGGAGTAGCATCATCATCAGCATCAGCCTCAGCATCAGCCCCCTCCTCCACCTCCTCCTCCTCATCATCACCATCATTAGCATCAGCATCAGCATCAACAGCTTCATCACCATCACCACCACCATCATCATCATCATCATCACCACCATCATCATCATCATCATCATCATCATCATCATCATCATCATCATCATCATCATCATCATCATCATCATCATCACATCATCATCACATCATCATCATCTCATCATCATCATCAGCATCAGCATCATCATCATCATCATCATCATCATCATCATCATCATCATCATCATCATCATCATCATCATCATCATCATCATCATCATTAGCAGCAACATCAGCATCATCATCAACATCATCATCCGCAGCAGCAGCAGCAGCATCATCATCCCCTCTCCTCCTCCTCCTCCTCCTCCTCCTTCTCCTCCTCCTCCGCGTTATCCTGCTTCTGATCATGCTCGTCCTTGTCGTCGTCCTCCTCCTCCCCTTCCTCGTCCACCTTGTCGTCGTCCCTCCTCCTCCTCTGCTCCTCCTCCTCCTCCTCCTCCTCCTCCTCCTCCTCCTCCTCCTCCTCCTCCTCTCTCCTCCTCCCTCCTCCTTTCTTGTCCTCATTCCAACTACTCATCCTCCTCCTGCTCATGCTCGTCCTTGTCATCGCTCTATTCCTCGTCCTCCTCGTCCTCCTTGTCGTCGTCGTCCTCCTCCTCCTCCTCCTCCTCCTCCTTCTCCTTCCAAGTTCGGCTCGAGAACGCTGGGCGCAACTTTCCGCAATTTCCAGACCGGTGAGAATGCAAACGTATGCATCATACGGGACCGATCCGTGTCACATCACCTGCATCCCGTCTGAATGTGGTATCCTGTCGATCCGTGCCCGGATCGAGGAGATACCAAATTCAATCGAAAGGAAGCCTGCGTAGCTGCACTCCAGCCGAGCAGTCGCTGCATACAACGAGCTGTCTCACAGACACCACTGTGCTCTTCACATCGTGCACCAAAACACACCGCTCCGACCAGCGCAAACTCAGAAGCCAATTGGTGAAACTGTGCGGGGAAACGAACATCAACTACACAATGTTGCACTGCTCCCTCACGCACATGTCGGGCTCCACCCGCGACTCAACAGAGTCCACGGCTTCCGCCGACGCCCACCAGGGCAACGGCACCGCTTCACTCATCAGCCTGGATGCACTCAACTGGGATGCCCATGTCGCCCTCGCCTCCAACAGGGCGGAGGATGGGACATCATACATCAAGGGCATCTCACTCCGCTCGCCAGAAGAGGGCAGCCGCATCCTGCAACAGCTTCGCCGACAGGACAAGCCCCTCGCGCTAGCAGTCCTGGGACCGATCAACTCTGATTACCCAGGACAAGAGGCCCTGATTTCTGCCGTCCGACGGACGAAATCACGCGGGTACGCGCGGACCGACGACCACGGATGGAATCAGACCAGTGGACGTGCCTATGGTCCTTTCACCTTCTGGATAAGGCGGCATACACGGCACAACGGGGCCGCCGCAAGGGGCCGACAGCACGGCAGGGCACACTGACGGCCGCCAAAGCCCACTCCACGAAGCACACCCGACCTCGCAAAGGCACAACGACGATAGCGTCACCCGCGCGGACAAAAGAGCGGGCAGCGGCGTAAAGCTCAAAACAAGCGAGGTCAAGCAGGTCGCGCTCGAACTCGGAGGCACCGATGCCGCACTCGCCAACGGCAAACACAGCATAACGGGCATCGAGCCACAGAAGGCCACGAGAACACAACCTGGCCAGGTCCCCCCATCCACCAAATGGCACTGCGAAGTGCAACGCGCAGGATGGGACAACACCACCCGATGTGATTTCGCTATCGTCAAAACGGCCACGCCGCCACCGCGAGCCGCTGCCCACGCCCAAGGATGCACGACCCCCCTTGGACACCGCCAAGACCGAGCCCCACGCCGGGAGCACTCCCCGGCAGAGGCCCACCGACACGGTCGATCCACCAGAGACCACTGCAGCGGAGGAGCCCGCGGCGGGGGGGTGCCACCGGGCGGGCCCGCCGCCCGCGCCTCGCCATCGCTCCAAGACGGAGCGGGCACCGGGCCACCCCTGCGAGGCCCGCGGACGCCACCGCCGAGCAGCGGCAGCCCCACAGAGCCGCCCCGCCGCCGGGCCAGAGACAGCTGTGACAGCGCGGCAGCAGTGCCAAGAGCACGAGGCGGCGCTCCGGCAGCGCAGCCAGGCAGGCCACGGAACCCACAGCGCGCGAGCCAAAAGGTCAGCCCAGGACAGACGCCGCCGTCCCTGCGCGACGAAGAGGACTGCGACGTAACAGAGCGACTCGCAAAATACGAGGACACAACCATCTCACCAACGTCGCCCAGAGGATGATCCAAACCACCAGGCTACGAGGAAGACTCCAGGGAAGAATGGCTCCCATGAGGCCCCCTGGATGGGGTCCGAGTAGATGGGGTCGGAAGATCCCGCCGCATCGCCGATGCATCGGCGATGCATTGCCGATGCATCGGCGATGCGCTGGCGGCGTCGGCGATGCATCGGCGACGTCGGCGTGGAGACAATCGGGCCCCACAGAACCGCATCGCCGATGCATCGCCGATGCATCGCCGATGCATCACCGATGCAGCGGCGATGCGGCGCGATCCTCCGACTCCATCTGCTCCGACCCCATCTAGGAGGCCTAGATCCCAAAGACCTCACCCCGAACCGACACAAGGCTCCCGGGCCCAGAAGCGGATCAACACAGCAGCTGGCCGATCAACGGCAACGACGACAACAATGACGACGACGAATACAACGACGGTGGCGGCGGCAACGACGACGACTACGACGGCGAACGACGACGACGACGACGACGACGCCGACGCCGACGACGACGAACGACGACGACGACGACGACGACGACGACGACGACGACGACAGCGGCGGCGACGACCGCGGCGGCGACCGGCGAAAGGATGCGGGCGGCGGCAAAGACGATCCCCCAGAGACAAGAGCGGCCCAACCGCCCGGCCGAAATCCGTCCGCCATCGGTCACCGGGGGGGGAGGAGCGGAGCGGGATGGTGGGCTCTCAGATGTCATCCAGGCGACGCGCATGGGTCGTCCGCTGCGCGGGGCAAGAGAGAGCGGACTGGCTGGCCGGCATCGGGCCAGTCGGTGGCCGCTGGCCCCTGGGCAGACAATCGCTGGGCAGAGCGTCGGCGGAAAGGGTAAGACCCTCCCCGAACGCGAAGAAGGGGATTGGAAGGAAGGGGGGCGACCGCAAAGAATGATGGAATTTCACTCGAAACCGACAGTGGCGACGGGAAGGCCCTCGAGAAACTCGAGTTTCGGATCCGAAGTCAGGATGTGTCTTGCCACTCGTCCTTCGCCTAGGCCTTCTTCCGTTGCCTTTTTTTCGCGACGTCGGAAATCCGCGCGGTGGCAAGACCCTCAGGCCACTGGACTTCTCGCAACGGCCCCTGGACCTCTCGTAGGGGCTGCGCGAGGCCTCCCGGGACGCGTGCGAGCACGCCTGCTGGGTCCGTCGGTGGCCGCCCCGCTTCCCCAGATGGGACCACGAAACGTGTGAGGGGTGTGCCGACATGAATGTGGCGGGCGCATGTGGTCACCCCCAGTGGGAATTTCGGTGGAGCTCCCTATGGGGCCACGAAGCGTGAGGGGTGTCCCGATAGGTGGCGGGCACGCATGTGGCCACCCCCAGTGGGGCCTTCAGTGGAGCTCCCGAAGGAGCCACGAATCGTGCGAAGGGTGTCCCAGAATGAGCGGCTGGGACGCGGGCGGGCGGCACCAGTGAAACCTTCAGTGGGAATCCTGATGGGGCCACGAAGCGTGTGGGGGCGTGCCGAAATAAGCGGCTGGGACGCTTGCGGGCGGCGCCCATCGAGCCTTCGGTGGACCTCCCTAGGGGACCGCGAAACGTTTAAGGGATGTACCGAAGAGCGGTTGGGACGCGTGCGGGCGGCGCCACTGGGGCCTTCGGTGGGGATCCTTTTGGGGCCACGAAGCGCGTGAGGTGTGTGCCGAAATCAACGGCTGGGGCGCACGCGGGCAGCGCCATTGGGGCCTTCGGTGGAGCTCCGCATGGGGCCACGAAGCATGTGAGAGGCGTGCCACTATGAACGGCGTAAGACGCATGCGGGCGGCGCCATTGGGACCCTCGGTGGAGCTCCCTATGGGGCCACGAAACATATGAGGGGCGTGACGAATTTAGCGGCTGGTACGCATGCGGGCGGCGCCCATCGGGCCTGCGGTGGAGCTCCCTTATAGGGCAACGAAGCGTGTGAAATGTATGCCGACATGTGCGGCTGGGACGTATACAGGCGGCGCCGCTGGGGCCTTCGGCGGAGTTCCCTAACGGGCCGCGAAAGGTTTGAGGGGTGTGCCGACGTGAATGCCTGGGACGCACGCGGGCTGCGCCACTGGGGACTTCGGTGACACCCCCATATAGGGCCACGAAGCGTGTGAGGGGCGCGCCGGAATTAGCGGTTGGGACGCGTGCGGGCGGCGCCACTAGGGCCTTCGGTGGAGCTCCCTGTGGGACCACGCGGGTGTGCCGACACGAACGGCTGGAACGCACGCGGTCGCTGACATTTTCTGTGGGGCCACGGTCTTCGTGAGGGGTGTGCTAAAATGGTGGACATGCGGAGAGCAGAGGCAGGGATGGGAGGAGGAAGAAGGAGGAGGAGGAGGAGGAGGAGGAGAAGGAAGAGGAGGAGGAAGAGGAGGAGAAGTAGGAGGAGAGAAAAGGAGAGGAAACGCGTGGCGGTGTCTCTTCAAAACGAGGACCCAACACCGCAGGATGGTTGGGAAATCGCCTAGGAAGCTGGGGCCCGAGCACTCGTGTCAACGCAGGGGAGGGGAGGGAGGAAGGGAGGGGAACTGCGCAGAGGAACGGAGAGGAGGAGGGCGGGCGGGACAAGGGGGGGAGGAGGCACCACGAAGAGCGTGTCGCGCCGCGGGGGGCGCTTGGCACCGCTGCAGGGGCGCAGCCGATAGGGCGCTCGGCGCACTGGGCCGAGGGGCGGGCCGGATGCGGGGGGCCACGGCCCTCTTCGGGGCGGCCCGAGGTCCCTGGAACGGTTTCGGGGCTGCCCCGGTCAATCTCCCGGGGGGGCCGTTGGGGGGCCCGGGTGGTAAATCTGGGATTATAAAGATGGAGGAGAAGGGCAACAAGTACTCACTGCGTGGAGTTCCCGATCTGTGCATCTGTTCGCATGGGCCTGTTCGCCGTGAGCGTCCAGGCGCAAGAGTTTTCGGATATAAACGAGCTTGGGTATGGACGGTCTGGGAATGAATCGAACCGCGACTGAATTGGAGTGTGAATGAGTCTCAATATCACGAGCGCGTCTCTGCGCACGAGCCTGGGGCCTCCCGGGGCCTCCTGAGGCTTCCTGGGGCCTCCTGGAGCCTCGTGTGGCCTCCTGGGGCCTCCTGGGGCTTCCTGTGGTCTCCTGAAGCCTCCTGGGGCCTCGCGTGGCCTCCTGGGGCCTCCTGGAGCTCCCTGGGGCCTCCTAGGGGGGATTCGTGCCCCAGGAGAGGCCCAACCTACAGGAACAGACGTACATAAAACATTGCGGATTAGAGCCACATTTAATGTCCAGCTAACCGTGCGCAGCGCACGGCTCCGCCGCCTCCACCTCGAGTTCCGCCGCCACGAGGAAGAGGAAGCCCAGCCCGCCGCCGACCTCGAGCGCGAAGCCGAGGGAGGAGGGCGCGCGCCGCGGCCGCCCGCGCCTAGGGCGGGGCCCGCCGCCGCCGCGAGCAGGCGAGGCCGCCGAGCGCCTTGGGCGCGGCAGCCGCCGCGGTAGGGCCTAGGCGGGGTGCCAGCGGGCGGCCTCCAGCATGCGCCGAAGGTCGTCGCTCGCCTCGGGGCGCCAATCGGCCGCCCTCCGCAGGACGCCGTCCGCCGCGGCGAACGCGCCCTCGAGGGCACCCGCCGCCCCCGCCGCCGCGTCCGAGGCAGCAGCTCCGCCGCCAGGCTCCGCCGCCGCCACCGTCGCGTCCGCCTGCCCCTTCGCCCCCGGGACCCTCGCGAGTGCCAGCCCCGTGCCCGCGGCCGCGCCGGCCACGCCAGCGCCCACCGCGTCCACGACCCACCGGCCCTCGCGCCCAGGGGCGGGTTCGGGCCTCCGCCTGCGCCTCCGCGGCCAGGCAGGGGCGGCAGCTCCTCCCACTCCAGCGGGATCCGCCGTCGCCGCACCCGAGGCTGCCCGACGAACGTCGTCCGCCCACTCGTCATCGAGGACGTCCATGTCGTCGTCGGCGGTGGCCGCCGCTGCAGCCGCAGCAGCAGCTGCACCAGCGGCAGCTCCAGCGACCGCCCCAGCGGGCACCACCTCCACGACCATGTTGTTCTCCTCCTGGGCGGCCGCGCGCCGCGCAGCACGGCGCTGGCGGCGGCGGCGGCGCTTCGCGGCTCGCGCCGCAGGGTCAGCCCCAGCAGCACCAGCTCGGTCAGGAGGATCAGGACGAGCAGCACCAGCAGCAGCAGCGGGCGGCGGCGGCACGGCGCCCTCGGCCCCGCGGCCCACCCCGAAAAGGGTGGCCGACACAGCCGACCGCGCCACAGCCGCGACCGTGCGCCGCGGCGCACTCGCAGAGACGGCCCCGCGGACCGCCGCCTCAACCAGGAGGGCGGCGTCGCGGGCCGACCAAGCCCCTCTAGGCGTCGCCATCCGCGCCACGGGCGAAGGGCCGCGCCGATAGGCTTTCGCCAGAGGCGGACCCTTGAGCCAGGACACGGGGCGACGGCCGTGCGAACGCTTGAGCCAAAATGGCTACGGAGGGATTAGAGCCACAGGAGAAGGGAAATCTATAGGAACACGCGTAAAACAGCAAGGACTCGTGCCCCGAACATGCGTGAAACATTTAGCATGGGATCCACAGGAGAAGGACAATCGATATAACCATACGTATAACAGCAAGGAGTCGTGCTCCAAGCGAGGCCCAATCTCCCAATCTATAGGAGCAGACGTAAAACACATGGGATTGGAGCCACTCCTGTGGCCTTCTGAAGCCCCCTGCTCCGGGGGCCTCTCGGGGCCTCCTGTTGCCTTCAGGTGCCTCCTGGTGCCTCCTGGCGTTTCCTGTGGCCTCCTGGGGCATCCTGTGGCCTCCTGAGGCCTCCTGGGGCCTCCTGGGGCCTCCTGATGCCTCCTGGAGTTTCCTGAGGCCTCCTGGAGCCTCTTTGGACATCCTGTGGCCTCTTGATTTTTCCTATTGCCTTCTGATGCCTCCTGTGACCTCCTGTGGCCTCCTGGGGCCTCCTGGGGCCTGCTGGAGCCTCTTGGAGCCGATTCTGGCTTTCGGAGTTGGCGCTTGGTATGGAACATTTTGGTTGGCGCATATATCATGTATTCATCCCGCTGCAAAGTACGGTCAACTAAAAGATGACACACAACGGTGGTAGACAGTCAGCCAGTGCGAATCTCAGTAAAAGAACAGTGACTGGGTCAGATGGCCAGGTCTGGTAACAGCAAGCGCCGAGGAGGTGGCTCGCGAGGCGCTCGCCGTTCCACAGCGCGCACTGCATGCACTGCCCAAGATAACTATCAGCAAACGCCCGGGTTGACTAATGATAACGAAATGTCCACGGTTCCACCACGAACGCGTGCATCAAAGACGTTTCACGGGTGCCAACCCGTACGGGAACGGGAAATTCAAAAAGTAGTATAAATGTCCGGGGCACCTGGGCTCCCCTGGAACCCCTGGAAAAAAAAGCCGGAAGGCATGCAAGTCGGTCTGTCGAGCCGAGTGCCCCGAGGGACGCACTGGTGACCTACAATTCCGCTCGATGCGTGATTCGGGCCGGGCGAAAGGGGGGGATAGCAAAGGGGGGGGTTGAGAATCAGCTCACGTAGCTGATTTTCCCGGAGCCTCCCGGCGCCGGAGGCGGCTATGTATCGAGGAATGGGCCCCTCGGTGGGGCCGGAACCAGCTGCATGCAGCAGATCTCGTAAACCCCCCTTTCCCAATCCCCCCCCTCTCGTCCGGCCCGAGCGACGAGCTGAGCGAACGTGGGAGGCTCGGACTTCGAGCCCGGTGATGCGCAGCGTGAGCGCCAGGGGTGGAGGGCACGCAGTCGAGCCAGCGCGGCGCAGCCAGACGGAGCACTCCGGGGCGCGCAGCGCGACATCCTCCTCCTTTTCCTCCTCCTCCTCCTCCTCCTCCTCCTCCTCCTCCTCCTCCTTCTCTTCTGAAGGATCCCAGGGGCACACAAATAAATACACACAAGTAAAAAAGATTCCCCATATTTTCCCATATTTTCTGGGATTTTGCCTTCCCCCCCCTTCCCATATTTTCCCATGTTTTCTGGGGAGTCGACGATTAATTGTGTCTGTATGTTTTTTCCCTCCTGATCTTAGTGGTTGTTACCGGTTCCGTTCTGCCGTTTGTTTGCCGGTTCCGACGCCGTTCTTTTACTGGCTCCGTCGCCGTTTCTTGACCGGTTCCGGCTCCGGTTCCAATCCTGGAGCCGTTTTTTTGCCGTTTCCGGTCGCCGCTGTTTTGCCGTTTCCATTTTCAAGGGGCATAAAAAATCTGTGAAAAAACGGCCTTGCCGTTTCCGGGGCTTACAAAGCTCCTTCTCTTCCCATCTCTCTTTTCTCGCGAGCCGCCTGCACAGTGAGTTCGGCAGCGGCCGAACGAGCGTTAGGGACGCCCCAGCACCCCTTGGAACCGCAACATCAATTGCGGGGTCCACTTGGGCATGGAACTGATGAGGCAAAATCAGTGAAGGCAGTAATCTCGCTGCTCCTCCGCTCATGGGGACACGGAAGAAGCTCGACAATGACCAGGGCGGCCCTGGAAACGCGACGAAGCTCGGAGGTTGCCTGCAAGACGGCCCAGCGGTGCGAAGGGACGCGCCGAAGGGCCTGTCGATGCCGCGCGCGCGCAAACGCGACCCCTTGAATCTCCTGATGGGGTAAACCCAACCACGGCGGATGTGGCAGAGATCAAGGCACAGCGAGTCGTCGTGTGGAAAGAAATTGCTCAGTCATGTAAAAAAGGACAAATAATTGGAACCGTACAAAAACGAACGGCCGAATGGTCTGCACGCGATGAATGCGATTCAATGCAACGCTCGCGAACCGCGGGTCCGAGCGCTCAAAGGACGCGTTGCGCGGCATCCTGCTCCTTCTCCTCTTCCCCTGCCCCCTCCGCTGGTCGACCGCCGGCCACTGGCAACCGGCACAGCTGGCCTCTTCGACACAACGACCGTCTATCCGGCAGCCGGCCTCTCGGCGATGAAGGGGCGGAACTCGGGGTTCTTCGTGCGGAGCAGCCGCCTCGCTGTCCACCTCCTGGCGTTCTCTCCGTAGCCCTGCAGCGCCGACGCCCTCACCTCGAGGACGGGCGCGGCGGCTCCAGCCCTGATCAGCTGCGACCCGTCCCACGTGCTGAAGAACTCGCGAGCAGTCCTGGGCGTGTCAAAATTCACGAAGGCGTACCCCTTGGCGGTCCCGGCTTCGAAATCTCTCGGCATGTAAGCGAAGTCGTAGCGGTCCGCGAAGCCCGTTCGGTCGATCATGCCCAAGAGGTCTCTCTGCGTCGCATCCATCGGGATGTTGCTGATCACGAGCGTGGTGATAGCTGGAGCGCCGGGGGTGGCGGGCCCGGCGCTCTCCGGTGGCGCCGGCGCGTTGCCCGCGAGCTCACCCCGCTGCAGCTCCAACCCCACCGCGCCGGCCCTCCACCCGGCGATCCTCTGCTGCGCCGCACGGGCCTGCCACCGCGGCTCGACCGGCTGCTGCCTCTGGGGGCACCGTGAGCACACACACACACACACACACACACACACACACATTCACATTCACATTCACATTCACATTCACATTCACATTCACATTCACACACACACACACACACACACACACACACACACACACACACACACACACACACACACACACACACACACACACACACACACACACACACACACACACAAGCTACACCGAGACCGCTGCTCCCTCTCGGCGGCAACCGAGGGCTGGAAGCGAGAAGACCCAGGCTTTCTCAGAAGGCGGCGGGCCTTCTCAGGCGCCTGGGAGCGCCGGGGGACGCCCGGGAGCGCCGGGGGGCGCCCGGGAGCGCCTGGGGGCGCCATGGGAGCGCCTGGGAGCGCCTGGGAGCGCCCGGGAACGCCTGGGAGCGCCCGGGAGCGCCCGGGAGCGCCTGGAGCGCCCGGGAGCGCCTGGCCTTCTGAGAAAAGTCTCCTGCGTCTTCGGGGGGGGGGGGGCCGTTGCAAACTGCACGGCAGGCCGGGGGAGCCCCGAGCCTCCTGCGAAGGCCTTCCCACGGGCCCGCCGCCGATCCATGGGCCTCTCCTGGGGCGCGTTCCAGCCAGAGCTCCGAGGCGACGGGGGCCGCACAGGAAACCCTCGCAAGTGGGGAAAACGAGGGAGGGGCCCAAAGACCCCCGACGCCATGGGTTTTTCACCCACTTTGTTGTTCGCTGGGTTGTAAGCTCGTTATAACTCCAGCCAACCCTCTCGCAACCCAGTAGTAACTCTGCCGTAACATATCTAACTCGGCCGTCAGGTTTACTAACCTTCGGAGGAGTTAGTAACCAAATATGTAGAGGTATGAGGTTATAAAAGACTTACATCGTCACCAACATAACCCAGTTATAACTGTATGTCACCCAGAGGTCTCGACCGAGTTCCCCAGGACCCGCTTCTGGCCCCGGGTCGTCTCTTGACGGTCCCGAGGCCCGGCGGGGGCCCCCAGCAGAGGCCGCCAACCTCGAGGTCCGACGCTGCAAAAAAGTCGCAATATCGCAAGAAGTCACCACTGAAACACTCGGCCCCGTTTCCTGCGCCATTTTTCGAGCCGGATCGATCCGTGAGGACCCTGGGGCCCGACAAAAAAAAAACGTAAACGCCTGGCTCAAACAAAAATGAATCTCAGGGAGCAGCGACGAACCTCCCGTCGCGACTTTGGCTATGACCCGAGGGGGTATCCCCAGACATGCGACGTCCTGTGTCCCCAACCTTCCTGCGTTGGGTCCTCGCTTTGGGTAATGAAGCTGCGGTCGCGACTCCTTTCCTCTCCCCTCTCCCCTGCTTTTTACCTCGCTCGCTGCTGCGTGCCAGCTTGCTTCTGCGATCTGCGAAACTGTCGCCACTTTCGAAGCCTCTGCTGGGGGGCCCAGCGGAGTGGGGTCATACGCAGATTCAGATTAAACCTCGCCGTCCCTGGGCGGCTGCGATCTGCGAAACTGTCACCACTTTCGAGGGCTGTTGGGGGGCCCAGCGGAATGGGGTCATACGCAGATTCAGACGAAGACCTCGCCATTCCCGGGGGGATGCGACCTGCGAAACCGTCACCACTTCCGAGGGCTGCTGGGGGGCCCAGCGGAGTGGGGTCATACGCAAATTCAGATTAAACCTCGCCGTCCCCGGGGGGCTGCGATCTGCGAAACTGTCACCACTTTCGAGGGCTGCTGGGGAGCCCAGCGGAGTGGGGTCATACGTAGATTCAAACGAAAACCTCGCCATTCCTGGGGGGATGCGACCTGCGAAACCGTCACCACTTCCGAGGGCTGCTGGGGAGCCCAGCGGAGTAGGGTCATACGCAGATTCAGATTCGACCTCGCCGTCCCTGGGGGACTGCGATCTGCGAAACTGTCACCACTTTCGAAGCCTCTGGGGGGGGCCCAGCGGAGTGGGGTCATACGCGGACTCAGATGACACCTCGCCATCCCTGGGGGGATGCGACCTGCGAAACCGTCATCACTTCCGAGGGCTGCTGGGGGGCCCAGCGGAGTAGGGTCATACGCAAATTCAGATTCGACCTCGCCGTCCCTGGGGGGCTGCGATTTGCGAAACTGTCGCCACTTTCAAGGCCTCTGGGGGGCCCAGCGGAGTGGGGTCATACGCAGATTTAGATGAGACCTCGCCATCCCTGGGGGGATGCGACCTGCGAAACTGTCACCACTTTCGAGGGCTGCTGGGGGGCCCAGCGGAGTGGGGTCATACGAAGATTCAGATTAGACCTCGCCATCCCAGGGGGGATGCGAGTTGCGAAACTGTCGCCACCTTCGAGGGATGCTCAAGTGTCCTGCTGGTCCGCCCCTGTTCGTCGTTCTCGTCGTCGTCGTCGTCGTGGTCGTCGTCGGTGTCGTCGTTGTCGCCGCCGCCGCCGTCGTTGCAGTCGTCCCCGGCTGGACGACCTCTGGCTGCATCTCTATGTGATGCTGTCCAGGGCAACGACCGTTGACAACCTGCTGATGATACGCGACCCTGGACTGGATTTCCTCGCCCGCGGGCCGCCCGCGGACTTAACGGCGCGCCTTCGTGGGTTTAGCTCGCGCACGGAAAGGTGCAGGAAGGAGGCAGAGAAGCTGGCGGGCGAGCTAGGTCTCGCTCGCTTCCTGCACTAACTAAAAGCAAGTTCAACCACATTTTCGGGCGCCGCGTCGACATGGCAGCACTGTGCCTTCAGCGGACCACCGACAAAAAGACACACCTTTCTTTATGATGCCTTCGCTGTCGTCCTTGTTTTCTTCCTCCTGCCACCTTCCCTCTGCTCCTGCTGCGCTGACGGTTCGGCCCCCTGCGCGTCCTCTCGCTCTTCGCTCCCACCCCCCATGTCCTTTTCGAGCCTGTGGCTCTCGCATCTCGCTCTTGCGTGGTTGCCCTGCACCTCGTGCCACGTGCGCGTGTCCCACGCAGCTTTCATGACGTACAACGGTGCCTGCACTTTGATCGTCCCGCACAAATGTTAACCAAGTCGTCTTGCCCCTTGATACACATGGGTCGGGTACGTCGCAGGGTAATTTTCCGGTGCGGCGTCCCGGTAAGTCCCGGCCGTTTCCCCGCGGCCAGCTTTTCATCCCGAGTCGTTGTTTGACGCTCCCATGGACCAGCGAGGGCCCCCAGGAGCCGAAAATGGCAACAAACCTCAGGTTTTTTTTACGATGCGATCCCTGAGAGCTGACATATCAAAAAAAAAATCCATAATCGTAAAACATCACGCCTTGAGCCCTAGACCGCACCTTTCCGCGCCATTTTTCGACTCAGATCGATATGTGAGGGTCCCGGGGCCTGCAACAAAAATCAAACCGCCCAGCTCGAGAAAAGTGAAACGCCAGGATCTCAAGAATCGTCAAATGGCCAAAAACCTCCCGTCCGGATTTTTTTACGACGCGATACCACACATCCGACGTCTCGATTTTGTTCGAGGCATGGGCCCCCGACCTCCCGACCACTTCCCCCGGACTGGTTTCTCATCCCGAGTCGTTTTTCGACGGTCCCCAGGCCCGGCGAGGGCCCCGAGCGGCCAAAAACTGCGGGAAACCTCCGTCGCGATTCTTTCGGGACGCCCGCTGTCTGGGTCTGGGCGAGGGCATCTGCGCCTCTGCTCCAGCAGCCGGGCCCGCCGCTCCTCCGACGCCCCGGCGGCCCCGAGCTCGCCCACCGAGGCCCCCGCCCGCCACGGGCCGCGCGCCCCGCGCGCCGCCTCGCCCCCGCGGGCGGGGGCCCGGGACCAGTCGCCCGGCGGCCCCGCGGGCCGCTGCTGCTCCTGGGCGGCGGCGTCCCCAGACCGAGCTCCGAACCCAGACACGATCGCGCCGCGCAAGAGATCCGGACGGGACGTTTCCGCCAGCTTTCGGCCTCGGGGAGCCCCCTCCCGGGCCTCGGGGCCGTCAAAAGACTATATTCATGGATGAGAGACCGGTCTCGGGGAAGTGGTTGGGAGGTCGGGGGCCCATCTCGAGAGAATCGAGACGTCGGATGTGTGGGGAGGCACAGCCACGACGAGGAGAACGTGGGGCACTCTGCACAGACATGATCGCGCGACGTGAAAAGAAAACCCGGGCGGCAAATTCGTCGCAATTTTTCGGCCCCTGGGGAGGCCCTCGACGGCCCCTGCGTCAAAAAATGACTCAGGATGAAAATGAAGGGGAACTGGGACACACAAATAGATACACACACACACACACAAATAAAAGGATTCCCCATATGTTCCCATATTTTCAGGGTTTCTGTCTTCCCCCCCACTTCCCATATTTTCCTATATTTTCCTGGGGATCGAGGATTAAGTGTGTCTGTGTGTTTCTTCCCCTCCTGAGAAAAGCTGGCCCCGGGGTAAGGGTCTGGACTTCTGGGGGCGCCGTAGTGAAAAAAACAGGACGTCGCAAGTCTGGGTCCCCAGACTGAGACGAAGCCAGGACGAGGATGACGCCGGTATACTCCGCATCCCTCAAGAAATTTCTGGAGGCACCTGCAGTCCAGGGACGTAGTCCAGGGGGGAGGGCACCAAAAGGTACCTGTAGTCTGGGTGGGAACCTCCAGTCTGGTGGGGGGGACCGCGTGTTCACGCGTCAACGCGCGCATGGATGTAGTCGGGGGGACAACTGCAGCCCCCGGACTATACCTCCAAGACGTCCGGGGGGATCTGGTCCGGGGGGGGGTACCTGCACTCTGGGGGACGCGGGTACCTGTAGTCTGGGGGAACGAGTACACCTGTAGTCCGCGGGGAGGAGGGTACCGTCCGGAGGGTACCTGCAGTCCGGGGACCCAGAACTATTGAAGGGGCCCCAGGACACACAAACAAATACACACAAATAAACATACATCCCTCATAGTTTCGCATACTTTCTGGGTTTCTGTCTTCCCATATTTTCCTATATTTTCCTGGGGATCGCCGACTAATTGTGTCTGTGTGTTTTTCCCCTCCTGACTGGGTAGCCGAAGCCAATCTGGCGCCAATCTGGCAGGCCCAATCTGGCAAACGGGGGCAATCTGGCGAGGGAGCCAACGCGAATCCGGTCTGGCGGATAACCCAAATCATCCA